GAAGGAAGGAAGGAAGGAAGGAAGGAAGGAAGGAAGGAAGGAAGGAAGGAAGGAAGGAAGGAAGGAAGGAAGAATAAACACTGAGATTGAAGCAATAAGAAAGGTCAAAGCCCACCAATATCAGCATTAGAGAATGGATACATGCAAGAAGGGGGTGGGGGAGAGGAAGGGTATAAGACCAAGGGGAGAGAGGGTAGAAGAATAAAGAGTGAAAGGGGTGGGGATGTAGCCAAGAACTTATTATATATACCACAAAATTAAGAAGAGTAAGGGAAAGGGTGGATCTAAGCGGGATGAGGATGTTGAAGGGGTGATGATACTGATTCAAGATGCATTGTATTCCTAAACTGCTTTGTAAAATCGTACTTCCTTTATTCAACTACTTGAAGATAATAAAGATTAAAAAAAAGTCTATGCACAGTTGGCTCACCCCAGTAATCCTAGTTACTCAGGAGGCTGAGATCTGAGGATCGTGGTTCAAAGCCAGCCTGAGCAGAAAGTCCAAGAGACACTTATCCTCAATTAAAGGTCAGGAAACCAGAAGTGTGGCTATGGCTCAAAGTGTGATTGAACACTAGCCTTGAGCAAAAAAGCTCAGCCTCAGTTCAAGCCCCATGAACAGCAACAAAAAAAATAAAGGAGGAAAGGAGAGAAGGAAGGAAGGAAGGAAGGAAGGAAGGAGGGAGGGAGGGAGGGAGGGAGGGAAGGAAGGAAGGAAGGAAGGAAGGAAGGAAGGAAGGAAGGAAGGAAGAGAGGGAGGGAGGGAGGAAGGGAGGGAGGGAGGGAAGCCAACAAGGAGACAACAAAAATGATAGACCAATTCCTTGATGAACACAGAAAAATTCTGAATGAAATACTTACAAACCAAATTCAACAACACATTAAAAAGACCACACACCTTGATTAAGCCGTTTTTACTCCAAGTATTTGAGGGTAGCTCAACATTTTAAAATTAACAAATGTAATACAATCACCATTGGAATCAAAGATAAAATTCACATGAACATCTCAATAGATGCAAGAAAAAACCTTTGACAAATTTAACATCCTTTCAAGATTCAAGTTTATTGAAAAAACCCAGGGATAGAAGGAATATATCTCTTTACAATAAAAACAATATGACAACCTATCCTATCACCATCAAATTAAATAAGCAAAAGCTGAAACAATTTCTTCTAAATTCAGGAATGAAACAAGGATATTCAGTTATTCAGTATAGTTCTAGAATTCAAAACAGTAAGTCAAGAGAAAAAAAAAAAAGAAACCCTACTAAGAAAGGAAGAAGTTAAATGATCACTTGTACAGATGATATGATCCCATACTTAAAAGTCTAAAGACTCCATACAGAAATTAGTAGCTTTTATATATACCGGAAATGAATAAGCTGAAATCAGGAAACAAACACACACACACACACACACACACACACACACACAAAACACACACACACACACACACAGAAATAAATTTAACTAAAGAGGTAAAAGATCTTTAAAACTTAAAATTATAGGGGGCTTGGAAGGTGGCTCAGTGAGAGTGCTTGCCTTGCATGCATGAGGCCCTGGGTTCGATTCATCAGCACCACATAGGCAGAAAAAGCCAGAAGTGGTACTGTGGCTCAAGTGGTACAGTACTAGCCTTGAGCTGAAGAGCTGAGGGACAGTGCTCAGGCCGAGTTCAGGCCCCACGACTGGCCAAAAAAAGAAAGAAAGAAACAAACAAATAAACACCTTAAATTATAAACATTGAAAAAATAAACTGAAGACACTAGAAAATAGAAAGACCCCCCCTTGGAGCCGGGTGTTGGTGGCTCACTTCTGTAACCCCAGCTACTCAGGATGCTGAGATCTGAGGATAATGGATCAAAGCCAGCTCAGGCAGGAAACCAGAAGTTGCGCTGTGGCTCAGTTAATAGAATACTTGCCTTGAGCTGAAGAGGCTGAAGAGATGAGGGACAGCTCCCAGGCCCAGAGTTCTAGCCCCACGACTGACCCCCCCCAAAATTATCATATGGAAACGTAAAAGACCTTGAGGAGCAAAAGCATTACAGAAAAAACAGTAATGCTGCAGATATCCTAATGCTAAACTTCAAATTATACTATAACACAATAGTGACAGCATGATACAGGCAAAAAAACTAACAACAGCACTGACCAAAAGTCTCAAAGACCTTAATGTACATTACAAAACTTTGAAAATACAACAGAAAAAGGTAGAATAAAAAAACCTGAAGAAGCTGGGTACTGGTGACCCATGCCTTTAATCTTAGTGACTCAGGAGGCTGAGATCTGAGGACTGCGGTTTAAAGCCATCCTGTGCAGAGACTCTTATCTCCAATTAATCACCAGAAAGCTGGAAGCTGCACTGTGGCTTTAAATGGTAGAGTGCTAGCCTTGAGTGAAAAAGCTCAAGGACAACACCAAGGCTCTAAGTTCAAGCCCCACAAGCGACAAAATCAAAGCCAAAAAACCTTGAAGATATAAGCACAGGCCATATTTTCTAAAGAGGTCTTACATTCCTCAAGAAAGAAAAACAACAAATTCACAAATGGGATTTCATTCAATCGAAAAGCTTCTACATATCAAAGGAAGCAGTTACCAGAATCAAGAGACAACCCAGTGGATGGGTGCAAGATATTCATTAGAGAAAAAAAATATTGAGAAGATAATAATAACATAAATATAAAAAATTCTGTCTATTTGTGAGGCCCTGATTTCAAACTCCTCACAGAAAAGAAACAAAAATAAACCAAAGAACAAAGAAAAAGTAAAATGAGAACCACTTTAGGACCTTGCTCTACCCTCTTGGCACATATCCAGCAGAGTGGTAAACCAACATACAAGATGAATACCTGCACATCCAATTCTTATAAAAGATTATGAGACAAGAAAGAATGTCAACTTTCAACCATTGGAATAGCAATTAATTGGTTGTAATAGCAATTACAGGAGAAAAAACAGATCATGAAAACAGACAGTATTTGCAGAGGTATCAGCTGAAAATATTTGCAATCAATACTGTTCCTTGATGAAAATAAGTATACACTGAGGAAATGAATTTCAGAAACTTGAAGATTGAAATTTTACACAACTCACATGATTAAATCTTCTGGTGAAGGCAACTGCATTTGGTGCAGAACTGTATTTTTCTTTTTTATTCCACCCACAACTTGAAAGCTCCTAGAAAAATAAGGTAAAAATTAAATATAAAAACATCTCAGTGTATTTCCATTCTAATTTTTTATTTTTATTATGTTTAAATAGTTGTACATAGTTTCAACATGTCAATTTATGAGGGCAATGCATCTTGATCAGTGTCAACCCCTTCCAACATTTTCCCTGCGTTCTTCCTTTTCCTGTGTTCTTTTTTCAATGACTTTATTCAAAAGGTACATACAAAATTATTTAACAATATAGGCATTCTGTAAAATCACAACGGCAAGCTTTATTTTAAAATGAATATGATTAGCAGAACATAGGAAATTTTCTATTTCATAGTCAATATTGGTAAATTCTTCCCAGAACAGATTTAACCCTGAAAGAACAGCTAGAGATAATTACTACATAGCAATCTAAGTTCTTAGTATGAAGCAATTCATTTGGTCTAATCATTATCATTATAATTTATAATTTATTATGGTAAATAAGAAACTTAGATAAAGTATTATGATCAAGTTCATATTAACGCTATGATGGAAGTACATCAGTATATCAAACTTATTAACAAGTGTATCAATTAAATTTATCAAACCATTCAAAGTACCCACTTGACATAGAATTCAATCCCAATTGTAGTCATTTACACAAATTCATTGCATTTTCCTGCTATAAGCAATGTTATGCTATAAATAATGAATATTGTTACACTTTTTCTGATATTTCTAACCATTTCCTAAAGTCCTGGGGCTGGGAAGGTGGCTCAGTGGTAGAGTGTTTGCCTCGCATACATGAGGCCCTGGGTTTGATTCCCCAGCACCACATAAGCAAAGAGAAAAAAAGCCGGAAGTGGTTCTGTGGCTCAAGTGGTAGAGCGCTAGCCTTGAGCTGAAGAGCTGAGGGACAGCGCCCAGGCCCAGAGTTCAGGCCCCACGACCGGACTCCCCCCCGCCTCCCCTACCAAAAAAAAAAAGTCCTAAGAATGAAATCACTAAATCAAAGAAAATTAACGTTTTTAAGGCTTTGATAATTAGGCATTTTTTCTCTTTCTTAACTACCTCTGCCTTAACTACCCCAACTATAAAAACTATTTGCTGCTAAACAGAGAGTATACAGTAAGTAGAGGGCTGTAAAATATCACTAAGTCTACCACTCAAATAAAACATATAGAACCATATTCCCAGTCTTTCACATGGGCATATTTGGGGCTGCTTGTTATCTGTTTAAAGAAACCAAACTTACTATCTTGCCCATAAATCTTTCCCATCCTGAGACTAGATAACAATAACAGCAACAAGTTAGACCTAAAACAGAAATTATTATACATTAATTTGTTTTTACATACATTATAACTCATTCGATCCTTATCTTTATCATGTGTCATGATAAATAAGAAACCTAGACAAAAGCATTGCAAATAATGACCATTTTAGAGACAAGGTATCACATGTAACCAAAGGTGGTCTTGAACTCACAATCCTGCTGCCTCAACCTCCTAGGATCACAGGTGTGCATCACTGTTATCTGTCTATGACTTCCTTTTTAACATTTTTCTTTAAAGAATCCTTTTCTCCTTTTTTAAAATAATGCCAGACCAAATGCAGGGTTCATGTAGGTTAAGAAAGCACTCTTCAATGGATTTACATCCCTAATCCCTTTATAATGCTTTTCTGATTCCTCTAATAACTGATACTGTTTTTGGAAAATCCATCCAACTCTAGAACATTTCAGCATAATTTATTTAATGAAAAATGCTTTCTCACTTCAAGAAAACTGTTGTTTTCTTGGAAAAGAAAAGACATGTACAGTCATATTATTTGGGAACAAATGATTTAAAGTACCACTTTAGGTCTCTATTCTAAAGACATTTATAATTTAAAAACCTGAGTTTAAAAAAAAAATCTCGGGCTGGGAAGGGACTCAGTGGTAGAGTGCTTGCCTTGCATGCATGCGGCCTTGGGTTCAATTCCTCAACACCACGTAAGCAGAAAAGGCTGAAGTGGTGTTGTGGCTCAAGTGGTAGAGAGCTAGCCTTGAGCTGAAGAGCTCAAGGACAGTGCCCAGGCCTAGAGTTCAAGCCCCACGACTGACCAAAACAAACAAACAAAAAACCAAGAAAGTTGTAATGCTGCTTCAGAAATCTTTCCCTATTTGAAATAAGTTGCATTACTATCCTGATATAACAACAAAATAAGAAAAATGGAGGATGGATTAGTTGTCAGGGGTTAAGGATGACAAAGTGTGAGGGAAAGTGGGATGGTTGCAACATAAAGC